CTCGCCCGGGGTCCGCCTGGTTTTATCGCTGCGAAGATCAGTGTAACTGACTGCTAGTTAAGTTTATTTTCTTTCTCCTACTTCCCTTCAACCTACAGGCCAGCTGTAACCGACTGCTAATGAGAAATACATATTTCAGGTGCAGTGAATTCCTGTTTGTTTTAGGTGGAGTATTAGTCGGGCAGTGAAGAGAAAATGAGTTGCTGATGGAAAGGAATGGAGGTGTTTTCAGTTGGCAGTTCCTTTCTTGTCATTCGCTGTATCCAAAACACCTCTATTTGTGTTGCACCTCACCTGGTCTAAGGGCTAGGCAGTAACGAAGGAGGAGGTTCAGGATACAGGACAGAAACTTGTAGGAAACCAAGAGTTTTTAATTTCAAAAGTCATAGAACAGCTTGCTTTCTAAAAAGTAAATTTTCCCAGAAGTGAATTTTGACCCTGTCACATGTTTTTGTGTAGTTTACTCAGAGGACTGTGTTGCTACTTCTGTCACCACGATAAAACGTTAATATCTATTTCTGAAGCTGAGGCATCTCCGGAGTCTAGGCACTACATCTAACGTCATCTGACCAGTGTTGTGTAACTGTAAACAGTTCAACCACCATTCATAATGCCAAATCGTTTTGTGAAGATATAATGAAACAATTGTGGTGTAGTTGCTAAACTTGCTACTCCTATTAAAACAAAAAATAACTTATTTTAGGAATAATAGGAAATTATTCTTTGTCACTCGGAAGCTGCAGCATTTACTGGTGGGAATCCCTTGCATTTAAGCATATATCCTTCTAAAGTTTTCAGGTTAAAATGAGTTTAAGAATAGTTTGAAGTGTAAGGATACATACAGTGTAGTTCTATAGGAAAAATATGCTTGTTTCTCAGACAATGTAGCTGTTACTTTCTAATATTTTTTGTCTTTTTGGTAGCGCCAAGGACTACCGACCTCACTCATAACGTGCCACTAAATATGAAACCATCTTGCAGCTGCCTTTTCTCACGTTTATCTCCTCATATGCAATTAGCTGGCTTGACTCCTGAGGGGAGATAGGAATTCCCTAAGCTTGTCCTATACAAGAACTGAACAAGTTAATGTCGATATGATAATTCAAACTAGTAATTTCTTCAACAATAAGTGTGTTAAATGTAAAATAGTTGACTTGAAACTGTTGCAGAGAGGTACTGTAATGCCTAGTTCATATGGGATTAGTTGAGTCTTGTCTGTTTTACAGTTGGTTAAAGAGTAATTCATGCTGGAAAAGTGTGCCGTGTAAACAAGGAGAAGTCTGTTGTAACTGATCCTCTGTAAATATACATGTTTCATGAATAACATGATTCAGTGTCCTCTGTATAATATTTTACTTGTGAGTAATTTGACACAGGCAGTTGGTTGAATGCATCATTTCTAGAATCTGTAACTTTCCAGTGAACCAGGAAACTCCTTGGGAGTGCTTAATGAAAGTACTGTTACTTTTTAAAAATAAAAAATTCAAAAATAGATTGGAATGCCAAAATACAAAGCAAGTATTCTTCCACTATTTAAATTTTGACGTGTACTGAAAGTCTAAAATGTGTTCTTCATTTTTAAGCTGCTTCCTGATTTGAATCTGGAAGTGCTGTAAACATGAGTAGTTTGCACTTTGCTGTTTTTTTAGGATTAAAAAACCTGGCCATCTATAAACACCCTCTATATCTTTTTTTACCTTCCTTTGGATAGAGAAGAGGGTGATGGGCCCTGCGTATGGTTTTAATGGTTGCCTTGTTTTCTATCTAGTTTTGCAAATCTATCCTAGTACTGGAGAGATTATCAGTTTGCCTAAGGCTGCACTGTAACGTAGCACTGTTGCTGATTTTCTTCATTATAATAACTTGTTGCCGACAAAAGGCTTTCCTACAGGAACATACGCAGTCAGATTGTCCTTTCTTCAGCTTTGTTTTTTAACCTGTGGTTCAGTAATTTAATTCGAGTTAACATAAAGTTGGAAATCTTTTTCTGTTTCTACAAATTCAGTGAAAATAAGTGGCTGGGAAGAGATGCTAGGACCTTGTGTCCTGACTGAAGGAGACATCAGTGTGTTCTCATTTTTTGCTGGCAAAATATGCATGGTGAATGATTAAAAAACTTCTAACTGCAGAAGAAGCTTTATTGAGAACTTCTTCCTCTGTAGACCCCAGCAAATTCTGCGGGAGAAAGAGTTTGATGATGGAGAAAATATTAATCATGTGTCATTATACGAGAGGACATATCTCTGAAGTTCTAAGTCTGGAAAATATGCCTGCTAAATTTTCCAGGGACACTTTGGCATACTAATCTCGTAAGCATGTGCTTGCAAGCTTTAATTCCTGTCCCACTCAAGACTTCTCTTTTGAAGTTGCCAAAGTACAGGATATGAATTCTAAAGTGTTTGCATATGAATTCTAAAACATTTGCAGTGTGAAATATGCCCTGTTCATCCTACGATTTCTTGTCTGTAAATGAAAATTAATGCAAGGCATTTACTTTATAGCTGAGGTTACAAGAGATGTTAGTGCCTTGTGCTTAATATTGACTGTTTTTCATTCTTTTCTCAGATTCTGTGAAAACGGAGATGCTTCAAAAAAATATTTCTTCCAACAGTGAGAATGAAACACTACACAGATCGCAAAATTTGACCGACAGCATGCAGAGTATAACCCCAACAAAAAAGGCAAGCTCAACAAAAAAAGAAGCATTCCCAACAACAGCTAAAATCAGTTCTGTTACCGCAGTAAAACCACCTACAGCGAAAGGTGATTCTCCACCGTATGTTGTCTCTCATGCGGTGACTGCTAGTCCTGTATCTCAAATGGATGTTGATGCTTCTGAAGATACTAAAATTGAGGAAGAAGATCTTCTAAGAGATTTGAAAGACAGGCTAAATAGTTCACCGCCCATCATAAAAGAAACTATGGAGTCAGATGGAGATGATGACTTTCCTTATGAAATGACATCAAATTCCAGGTACAACCCAGACATGCTAGAAGATGATGACTCTGACACTATTAGTAATTACAACGAGGAGATCAAGTCCCTTGATGAGAAGATAAAAGATGTTTCTGTCACAGGGTTGGAAGAAGAAGAAGAAGATAGCCATTTCTTTTTTCATCTGGTTGTAGTTGCCTTCATAGTAGCTGTTGTTTATGTCACCTATCACAATAAGAGGAAGGTAGGTATGCTGTGAAAGGTTGAGAGACACAGCTTTAGTATTTAAAATGAAGTTGCATTGCTTGCACCCTTTTTTTTGAGAGGAACTTAACTTTTTGGACAGTGAAATCTTTGGCCACTTAGTCTTGTTATACTAATATGCAGATCATTACTGTCACTTATATCTGCACAATGAAAATAAACTTGAATCAAACATTGTAGGTTAGAAAATCAATTAATTGATAACATCAGTAATGTAATCAATCAGTTCAGTAATGGACACTGGCAGTGTACAACATGAGTTCTGTAAATGAAACCTGAGCCAAGTTGAGTGATTGATTAACTAATTTTGTTTCTGCACAGGATTATAAACAGGAAATTAAGGAAGGTTTAATGCCGGATGGTGCAGGAAGTTACAGTTACAACTGTGATAATCCTTGTAATGAGTATTCACTTTAGGGTGGTCTTTATAGCACAGATCTTCTGAGGGATTGACTACAAACTTTAAGGAAATGTTTATTCCAGATTTAGAGAAGCCCAAAGTTAGTGTTTTCAGGTAACTGTTTCTTCAGTACAAACTCTTTGTATCTCAAAAGTAGCCTGATTAGTGTTATTTCAAAATATACTGCTAGCATAGAAAATGAACTCCAGCCCAGCCAGACCCCTTACGCATGCATGCACAAATTTGCAATTAAATCATAGATTAGTTTTTAGTAAATTTAGTGTTTATTCTTGTAGAGAACAAGGTCAAGAGTTCAGGGGAGTCTGAAAAGAACACAGCTAAAAAAGCCCCCAAACTTCTGCTTCACAGTGCAGCGTCATGTCTGGAACATGCATTGACAAGTCTTTATAGGGGAAAATGTTGAAGACTTACATTTGAAAATTTAACTTTGAGGGGAGTTCAGATAACTGATAAAAAGTGCCTTGTGTTTGCTACAGAAGTGAAATAATGCTTGTAGTATCATTTGGGTAATTGAAAAGCTATCTTGATATTACATTTTAGCACTTGGAAATAATTTTGGGAGCAGAAAAAAACCACTAGTACTTTAAGTACATAGATAGTGACATGTATTTGTGTGAGACAACAGTCAAATTGGTTTAGGTTCCCCTTTTTCTTTCCACTTAGAGCATCCGATTTCCTCTTTTGCCCATATAGTTGCCCTGTATAGTAAAATGGATTCTTAGATGATGTTGGTAAGAAACAAGGCTAAATAGGGTGAAGATAATAGACATTTAAAAATCTGATCACTTGAGTGCTTTGATTTATCATATTGCCTCTTTAACTGCTCTGCTGATATTGCTGAAGGGGGCACGGAGCTGTTAAGGCAGAAACGGTTTATCAAATTACACCATTGCTGCTTCTGTTGCCTTTGTTTCAGCACCAGTAACACAATTATTTTTAGCAAGGGTGAAATGCTGGAATAGGTAAGATGAATAAACTAGCAAATGTCACCATCTGGGCATAGTTTAATAGCCTGTATTTGCAGTACTTCTGAAGCTACACACGTATCTTTACTGAATGTGTTACGGGTTGAATGCTGTGGGTTTTTTGCCAAACTGCAGCTGAGGTTGCCAGTGACTTGATGGCAAGCACAGTATGGAAATGGCTGACTGCTAGTGCCGTGTTTTTCAGCGACAGTAATGCCATTGCTAGGATCGAGAGGTAGGACTGTGATAGCAATAGAACTGTTAAGCTATCAGACCCAAAATGTTTCTCCGTACAGTTATGTAAGTTGGCTTTTTTTCTTTCAGATCTTCTTACTGGTCCAGAGTCGAAGGTGGAGGGATGGCCTGTGCTCTAGGACCGTAGAATATCATCGTTTAGATCAAAATGTTAACGAAGCAATGCCTTCCCTGAAAATAACTAATGACTACGTATTTTGAAAGCACTGTGATTTGAGTTTGCTGAACTTATCACTCTTTGCCTGGCTAGTCATGTAATGATATTCAGGTATTCTAAATATGCTGCTTGTACTGAAATGAGATGTACTCTCTTTGACCTGGATGTTTTTGAGATTAAATCTCATGCAAGATCAAGGGCATGATACATCTGTTTGCTACTTTGGTCAGGTTTTATATCAACTATAAAGAACAGAGTTTAATAATTAGTGCTCTTTCCATTCATTAAGCATCATCCCTTCTGTCTGGAGCAGTCTTAATAGTGGTAATACAAAAAATAAGCATAAAATATTTTAGGTCTAATAAATTAATGACTTTGGCATCACTAAATCAAATTAATGATCTCTGTGCTAATCACTTATATGGCTCATAAATCCCACTATATTGCAAACTTAAAATATAATTACTTTTTTCTGTGCTTAAATCCTGATGCTGCAAATCTGTCATCTTGGGTTTTTTTGATTCTGTTTTCTTGTTGCATAACTTGATCCTATTTTAGGCAGAATAGCTAGCATGGCAATTTCATAATTTCTGTATGTGTTCATGCAGTAAATAATTTCAAAATGATTATGTAGAAACCATTTTATATCAGAAGTTATATACCATATATTTCTTTAAAATGTTCAAGATCTTTGTGAAGGTATGCAGCTTCTTGACTGTCCAGTTTTTTTTTTTCTTCTAATGGTGTTTATGACTATTTCATTACCTTTGTAATTAATGAATGGAAAATAAGCCTTGTTGAATAATCTTACTAAAATATAGATAGTTGACTGGCTTTCAGTACATTGAAGCTTTCTGTTGAATTTTAAGATGGTTGGGAAACAGTTATGTGATTTGCCATATTATAAATGGGAGAGGGCTGAGAATGTAAGAGTATTTTGTTGTTATTCTGACCCAGGTAACAGGCAGATGACAGTAATGGTGTGTGGGGCTGCCAGTCTGTGACAGCACACTCTAATTTTTGACAAACATTTATGCATTAATGTAAATCAAGTTACTGGTACAGTAGGTTTTTTTTACCTTGTCTTTTGTACTTCCATTATTTATGTTTTCATGAGTTGTAAAATATAAAATCTTAGTTTTCTGTACATTCTGTTTGTGATTTAGTTTTCAAACTGATAAATATGTAAATAATGATGGATCAGAACCCCATAATTAATGACTTGGTATTCAAGTAGTTATGTAACATTTTGAAAAAATCGACTTTACAGCTGTTGGCATGAGGAGTATGAAGGCATGATACTATCTTATGAATGATGTGCTAAAAGTTCTAAATCCTACTGTTAAATGCATTCTTTTCATAACCACAAGCAGTAAAGCACAAACAAAATATCCCAAAACTCTTTTCTTGCAGTAATTTTTATCGTATTTGGACTTGTATCACTTAATATTTTGAATAAGGTTTTTAAAATAAATGACAATAATAAGCTTGTATTTTTTATCTTAACTGTTTCACTGCTTTTATACAGTACCTTATGATAAAGAGCTTGCTTGGGATTGGACCGCTTCAAATCCATCTTTGCTGTTACTGATGAAATTCACTCTGTGTAGGGGGTGTATGGACTTCTGCTTTATGCAGCTGTTAAATGGTATCTAGAGCAGATAGCAAGACTTAAATGAAATCTTTTAAGCAGTAGGAATTAAGTTCTTTAACAAGTAATTTTTTACCTAAGTTGTATAATTAATAATTCTCATGGAAGATATTTGAAACTATTACCTCAACATACCCTCATTAAAGCATAACACTGCGGGGGTCAAGATCCACAGGGAAAAGTGTGAATGTTGGTATTGGAGAGGAGGCGGCTAATGTTTTCACACCCAAGAAGTTCCGTAGCTTTCTCCTTAAATAACATCCATAAAGTGTAGTAGTGGGTTTGACATTAAACAGTAGTATGTTCACAACTTGCGGAACGCTTGTGCTACCTTCCAGCTTGGTACCACAGGCCTTACGCAGAACTCTGAAAGAGGTACTGAAGTGCCTGACTGTGCAGGCGTACAGGGATAGCCACGTTGAAAGTTTCATTTCAAATGTTGTTTCATTTCAAATGTCATTTCCTCTTCAACCCATCCAGTGAATTAGGCTATCGAGGCAGATGTTACATTTTCGGCTACTTGACTGGCTCTAATAGCTAGAATATTAGCTATTATTTAAAAAATGTAGAAAATTAACATCAACCTAAATTAGTAGAAATAAGGCATATTTTGTTGATTTCTGGAGTTCATAGATGTGTTACCTTATTCCATCTTGGATGCTTTCCAAAGCTCTTGAGACATAGTTCAACTGACTAATCTTAAATGTTTTTCTTCCAGGCGTTCTGAATGAATAACAGTGCTCTCTTTAAGACTATACATTAATATATTGGTGGAAAAATTTTGTGCGTTTCCTTGCCCTCCCTCCTTTAAATTGTCCTTGTGAAAAGGCTGTCTGTAGGGAGAGACGTTTATTTGCTTTCCATCTTTTGAACTGTTCCTTCCAACAAACCCACTCATTTAAAACCCTGTAACTTTTATTGGAGGAGGAGTGCACACAGCTAATAGCAAGATTGCTTTTTGAGAGAGTTTTAGGGAAAACTGTCAAAGGCCTAATGTCAACTCCATTACTAAGCCTGCTTCTTTGCAGTTTGTTTTGCAGTCGTCACATTTTAAAATGCTCTTACGTTTAGCTGTGCTGTGACAATACTTGTCCCACAGATTAGTATTCATTAGGTGCACCTAAGAGTATTTAGGCCTAATGGACTGCAGCTCACTTTGGCCGTGCTGCAAACATTAATAAATTCTCTTTTCAAATGTCCATTTAACTGTCTTTGAAGATGCTCTTGCACGCGGTTACCTTAGAGGAGAAATTTACATCTTGAGCTTTTTTGCTCTTGATAGTCGTATCAGTACTGAAATAATTTGAGTCGGGTAACTGATACCTGAAGTCATGAAATCATGGCTCGCGTGCGTGTTTTCTCTAGCAGAGTGCAGCTTTGCCTCACTCCAAGTACTTCAGGCACTTGAGCAGTTATTCTTTGCTTGTTCTAGCTATTGTGTACATCCTCTTTATCTCACAAGTAAGAAAAATTTTTTAAATATTTATACAAATATATTTTTTAATAAGGCTCTTTACTAATGGTACTAAGGGCAGCTTATTTGCGTGTTTTTAAGTTCACAGGGAATTAACATGAATATGAAATCCTTGAAGTTCTTTAAACAGTGGGTTTCATTTGGGCAATTGTCGAAACAGATTTACTTCTAGGATGCCAGTGAAGTACTTGGGGCAAATCTTGCTCTGTATCTTGGGCCAGAAGGAGGATCTGGGGAACTACAGCCCTGTCAGTCTGACCTCAGTGCTGGGGAAGGTTGTGGAGCAGATCACCTTGAGTGCTGTCATGGGGCATGTACGGGACAACCCGGTGGGTCGTGGTGAACTTGGCAGTGTGAGGTTAACGGTTGGCCTTGATCTTGAAGGCCTTTTCCAGCCTAAACAGTTCTATGATATGGTTGACAGTGATTGTAGCAAGCTGCCCCAAGGGACAAGTTTGGTCATACCAAAGCAGAAAGTTTGTGGATGCCTCCAAGCAAATCAATTAAGATAATGATGTTTGTGGAATATCGCTATTCTTCAAACCTGTCCACTGCTGATGTGCTCCAGCATTCAGCTAATAACGCCAGCGTAACGTAGAGGCTGCAGAACCAATTCACACTGGTCCTGGAAAGGTGAATCCTAAATAATCAGCTTGTTACCAAAGGCATCTTGCCATCCAGTGTCTGGCGTATACTTGCTCAGCTTCACCTGTGGCAAGATAATACCAGAAACAAAGTGAACTATCACCTCTGCCCTGGCTAATGACGGTGCTGAGTTCATTTCCAGCGCACTTGTGTGTCACTCTGCCATCTTGGTACTGTAAAAAAGGGACCAACCCTTGCACAGATGCAAGATTTGAAATGCTCACAATGGCTTCTATGCCTTTTTTTTTTCCCCAAGGATATCTTTTCAATCGCAATAGCCCTTGGATTGGTGCCTGATCAGGGGAAGTGCCTTGCTGATTTGACTTGGGTAGTTGCTACGCCATTTCCTAATAGTACCAATAAAGAGGGAACGGTTTCTCATGATCCGGTTTTATAAGGGCTCCAGCAGCACCAGGAGAGTGGGGCATATGTCATCCGTTGTGCAATAAAAGAGCCATTTGCTGATGAGGTAATCAGGATTGAACTACTGTTTTTTAATGTCTTTAATTGAATTTGCTTGTGGAAAATTAAGAGCAGGCAATCAAAAATTCATGAAGTGCTGAGATCAAATAGAGGAAAAAGCAAGCCGATTTATGTCAGATCTTACCAACAAGAAATGTATTGATGGATTTCTTTACTGAAGAAAGGAAACTTTCTCACATTAAGGTGAATTATGACTTCCATCAATATTCTGATAAAAGGAATAAAATATTCCTGAAGAGCTTTCTGATTAAACTTCTCAAGATGAAAGTTGAAGCTCTATTTATGTAGGTTCTTGTTAGTGGTTCGGTTTTATGAAATGAGGAAAGAAATAATGAATAGGATGGTTTAAACAAATGATACATTTCACTTTTACTATCCAGGAAATCAGGTATTTTAAAATATTTATAGTTTAATTTTCATTTAGCACCAGTACATATTATTCAGCTAAGTCAACTGTCCTTGGCTGCTGCTCAGTTGTATACAGGGTGAATCAAGAAAGGTTTATCTGAGCAGGGTGGTTTGAGTTACGGGAAATTAATTTGCAACATGGAGATGAAAAACATGATAGCTCTTAAATAATTTTAAATGCTACAAAAATAATAGAAAGGGAAAAGGGTTATTTCTGTGGCTCTAACACAGACTGCTGTTAATATTAGAAGGAGAAGGGGGATACTTTTACAGCTGTAACTCAGGATTGGGAAATCTTAGCTCTGAATGAGGAGCAGTGCAGCTGCAGACCAAGGTGGACAAGACATTGGTCAGGGATTTCTCAAGTCACAGTCAGTTTAGGAAACCTGCGATGAGCCCCACTGGGTGAGGCTTCGTTAGCTTTTATTGTCTGTGGAAAGCTGGCGTGCTGAGCAAAGAGAAATCTGGCTGTCAGCTGGTATTCATTTGGGCCTCAATTTTCTGCCTAAATCTCGAGGCAGCGATGCTGCCCAGGGCTGGGAGGTGTGATCCCGCAGCTGCTCTTGCTCTGACGGGGAAGGAGCGGGTCCTCCCAGACGGAGCTCTTCCTCCTGAGCTGT